GAGCGTCACAGGTAAGCCAAGGGCCTCGTGGTAATATCAGATTAATAAAAATGGGTTAATTTAAGTTGTAACAGCTATTTAATGATAGGCCTGAGCTAATAGGTCAAACAGTTTATAATTAATATTAAGCCTCAGAGTGGTTATTCGGGAACTGGTGGGTGGGAGAGAAACCAGTCCAGAAGGACCAGGAGAGACAGAGCAAAGCTTCTGATCACATACATTCACACACACAACAAAACATTTAAACACATTAAAATAAATAATTGGGGGGGAGCATGTTTCAAGACAGGGTTTCTCTGTGTATCCCTGGCTGTCCTGGAACTCACAGAGATCTGCCTGCCTCTGTGTCCCGAATGCTGGGATCAAAGTGTGCACCACCATCACAGCAAATCTTTTTTTCCATCCTAAAAAGTCAATAACAATAAGCTCCTGGAAGTAGTGGTTGTTTGAGGCAGAGATGCAAGATATAAGATTAATAAATAAGAAGTCAACTGCTTTCCTATAGGCCTGGCAGGAAAAGTTGGGCTTGAAATTAAACACACAAAGCTAGTCACATTTGTACCAGGAAAGCATTGTGCTTCACACCAGCATCCCAGAACTTGGGAGAATGAGAAAGGAAGACTGACATGCATTTGAGAGGCCAGCCTGGGGCCATATAATGAGATTCAGGATATCCTGAACAGCATAGCAAGACCTTGTATCAAGGAATTAAGGGAAGGAAGGAGGGAGGAAAGTTACTGGCAGACTTCAAATAAGACTGCAAATATACAAATGACAATTTAAAAGAAAGAGCATATGAAAAGAGTGGCTAAAATCCAAAACTCAACAACACCAAATGCCAGAACAGATGAAGCACAACCAAATGGATTTGTTGTCTAACTGCTTTCTAAAAAAAAAAACCTATGTTTGTATCCATGTGTTAGGGCTGCTCTCAGCCTTTCTCAGACAAGCTCTTTTTTTTTGCAGTGGGCAGCAGTTAACAGGCTCATAACTGGTCCAAGTGCAAGAATGAATGACTATTGAGTCCTCAGCCCTAAACAGGTCATCTCTGTCACCGTGCCCAAGGCTCAGAGAACACTGTAGAACAGGGGGAGAAAAGAATGTAAGAGCAGGAGGCTGGAGATGGGTTCTGTGAGACACTGTTTTATGGACACAACATGGCCATTACACTCATGAAATTACAGCAGCAGTGGTTGACTTGAACAAGACTGGACCCTTCAAACTCTCCATGACAGAAACAAGTAGATCCTGGGAGACCCAGTTGTCTCTGAGGAGCCACTGGCAGTTAATGGCTACCACAGGGGATGGGTTATTTATTCAGTGGTATAGCCAGTAGTTAGCTGTCCATGCCCTGGTAAATTCTTCCCAACTATACTTATGCAAGAGCCTTCATTGACCTCACAAAAAGAGACATGAAACTAGGAAGGTGAGAGGGTTCAATGGTGGGGATGGGGGGGGGCTCAGAGAGGCTATTAGAGAATAGACATGCATAAAATCACCAAATAATACATTTTATTACACGTATTTATTTATTCTCAGGGAAAGGATGCACGCCACAACACATGCTTGTGGGTCAGAGGACAACTTGAAGGAACTGGCTCTCTCCTTCCAATGATGCCAGGGATTGAACTCAGGTCCTCAAACTTGGCAATAAGTATCTTTACCAGATGAGCCATCCTACCAGTCCTGTTCTGTGGGTTTTGATAAATGCATGACGTATGAACCTATGTAAAGATGGAAGGAGTGAACCAACTCCGTGAAGTAATTCTCTGGCTTTCACATGCCTGCGATGGCACACATGTACTTCCCTCCAACAATAACAAATAAAATAAAGGTTAAAAAAATACCACACAATGCAGAGTACTTTTGAGGGCCTTACCCTGCCTGGGGAGTGGAGGGGGGATGGCTAGGGGCAGGGGGGATGTTGGGGGGGTGGGGAGGGAGAGGGAGAGGGAGAGGGAGAAGGGATTGACATCTGAAGCAAGCTTGTTCCTAATTTGAATTAATAAAATTTAAAAAAAATCACACAAGAGGAGAATGAGCATTAACGCTGAGTCTAGACATTGACTTTGCAAAATGCTCCACTCTATGCAGAATGTTGATATTGATAACCAGGGAGAGTGTGTGAAGTCTATATCTGAGTTAGTCAGTTGTTATCTCGTCATCACTGTGACAAAGGATCTGGCATAACTTAAGGAAAGGTTTGTTTTGGTTTATAGTTCCAGACATTTCTGTCCAAGTTTTGGCTTACTCCATTGCTTTTGGGCTTGTCTAGCTGAGCTGGTAAGATCAGTCTCAGTACCTCTGCATATGATGGTGAAAGGGCAAGGTGGAGGAAAGCTGTGTGCCTCTGGGCAGCCAGGAAGCACAGAGAGCAACAGGAAGGAGCCAGGGACAAATCTACTCTTCCAAGGTGCATCCCTGGTGACATACTTCCTCTGTCCAGGCCCTGTCTCCTGGAGTCCAGCACCTCCCTGTTGTGCCATCAGACAATGAACCCATTGGTCGGTCACTCCAGGGAATTATGTCAGAGGCCTTAGGATCTGGTCACCTCTCAATGACTGTGTCCACAGGCTGGAGACTAAACTGCAGCACACAAGTCCTTTGAGGACATGCCGACCATTGCAGTAGTACATGCTCAATTCTTTGTTTCTCTTGCATATGTACATATATATTCAGGTGCCTGTCTATGCAGGTGTGTGACACATTCCTGTGGAGGGCAAAAGTCAACTTTGGGTGGTGTTCCTCATGAACTGTCTGCTTTTTCGTTTGTTTATTTGTTTTGCTTTGTTGTTGGTTTTTGTTTGTTTGTTTGTTTGATTGGTACTGGGCATTCAACCTGGGTCCTCATGCATGCTAGGCAATTGCTCTACCATCAAGCTATAGCCCCAGCCCTCACCTTGTTGTTTGTGTTTGTCTTTGAGACAGGATCTCAGGTAGCACATGCTGACTTCAGACTTGCTATGATGGCCTTGACCCTCATCTGCCTCCATTTCCCCTCCATGTGTAATCCTGAGCTGAGATCACATGCATGTGTCACCACACTGATGTCATGTGGTGCTGGAGGTCTCACTCATGCTAGGCAGGTACTGTACCAACTGAACTACATCCCCTCCCTCATCTTGGAGTGAGACAGGGATCTAGGCCTCACTGATCAGTATGGATTAGCTAGCTAGAAGGCCTCAGGGATCCACCTCTGCCTCCCCATTCCTGGGATTACAAGTGCATGCCACTATGCTTGACTTGTGTGGGGGATGCATGTGCACGTGGTGTCCTGATCTATCACTCTCCACTTTATTCCCTTGGGAAAGAGTATCTCACTGAGCCTAGGCGACGCTGGCATCCAGAAAACCCCCACCAACCTCCTGTGTCTACTTCCCACAGTGCAGAATTACAGGGAAACCCAACTTTTCACTCCAATGCTGGGAGCCTAGTTCGGACCCTCATGCTGGTACAATGAGGGCTCTCGTCCACTGCACAGTCTCTCCAGCTCCACCCACAGCTTTTTACATGGATGCTGGGGGTTCAAACTTGGATCTACTGAGGGAATCAAACTGAGCTTTCTCCCCAGCCCTATGTTTGGTTCAATTATTCTATCACACTGCCACTGTTGTAAAGACAAAAACAAAAACAGTCTATTAAAAACAGAAGCAAACTCTGAGGCTACTCTATCTAAAGTGCTGGAATGAGATCCGTGCTTGTAATGAGGCAAGCTTAGAAAGCCCCTGCACTGAGATATGAGCCTGGATTATCTGGGGCTCCCAGCCCACTCTCAGGTCAAGCAGAATGGTCACTCAAGAAGTCTGGGACTGTGATGGGAAGGTAAACTTCCTGCTGTGGTCTGTCTTCTTGGCCAGCTAGCTTCCTTGTCTCTGTTTTGACATCAGCTCAGATTCATAGAAAGGTTGCAAGAGGAGTGCTAAGAACCCTCGCCACTGTGCCCCTGCAGTTTCCCAATGCCTGCCCTGACCGCATGTGCACTGGCCTTCCGGTCTGTCCACACTGTCTAGATTCTGATTTCACAACCAGGCATGCAGGCTCTGGCCCAGCTGCTTACTTGGCCTAGTTCTACAGAGCTTCTCGGAGTAAATAAACCAAGCAGAGATGGTTCCAAGTACCATCACAAGCCAGACTATTTCTGCCACATGTAGGTGCATCTCACATGGTCCCTCTTTCCAGGCCAGTGTCACGGAGTGTGGCAAGGATAATCCAGCCTGCCCTGAGGCATCCTGTCAGCATAATGCAGAGCTGGAGAACAGACAGGTGGCCCAGGAGGGATCAAAATGTGGTTTACAGCTCAGAAGACAGCAAAGTGTAGTGGCTCATGCCTGCAATCCTAATTTGGGAAGGTGAGACAGGATTGCTTTGAGTTCAAGTTCAGAGTGGGCTACAGTATGAGAGCCCAACCTACATAGCAAGATCTTGTCTCAAAAACCCCAAAACTAAGCAAAACCAAACCAGAATTCAAAAAACAGGATGGCAAGCCGGTGGGTTGGCTCAATTGGCAAAGGCTCTGGCTGGCCACAGTTGTACTGTTGTGGGGTGAGAGGACAACTTTGTGGAGGCAGTTCTGCCGTTTTTCACTTTTGCATGGATTCTGGGGATAGAATTCATGTCCTCAGACTTGCAGGCCATATCACGGGCCCCTGAGCGAGTTTCTTAACAGCTCCATGCCTCTGTTTCTCCATCTGAAAAGGATGGTTGCTTATGACTCAGTAGTGGCAGCATAGAGTACCGGGACCTGACAGGAGGCACTAGCTCCTGATTGATGAGCTGTTTTGCTTTCTAATTTCTCTGGAGCAGGCGCAGGGTAAACATTGGAAGAATGAACAAACAGCTGCGACCACAAGCCGGGCTGGTTTGTTGGGCTAAGGCAAAGATTCGAATCCTGAAATCCTGGGACTCGAAAGCCACAGCACCAGACGGCTGCGGACGTGTGTGGTGGGACATGTAAATGATCCGGCGACAAAGAGAGGCCCGCGTACCGCGAGTGAAAATGAGAGGACGGCGGGGCGGGACATGTAAATGACCGTCCACGGGGCGGGGCATTGCATGTAAATAAGGGGCCCGGGTGGCGTAGGAAGCGGGGCGAGGTCCAGCGCGCAGGAAAGCCCCGTGCGGCGCGTGGAGCCTGAGCGCACAGGTAGGAATGGACGGTGGGGAAGACTCAGGACCCGCCAGAGGTGGCCGCGGAACGGAGCAGGGCTGGGACCAGGGTCAGCGGATCCTCGGGTGGGCGTGGGACTGATGGGCTCCCTTCCCGGCCAGGTTCGCCTGCCGTCGGGCGCGAGACAGAAGCAGGTGGACCGCCCGCCTGCCCTCCCGCCCGCTGGAACCCAGGCAGCCTTGGCGGTCCCCACCGGGACGCAAAGGGGATCTTCTAGAAGTTGAAACTGCCAGGCTCCTCCCAGGTTCCGGTTCAGTAACCCAGGAACCTGAGTGTTTATTGTGGCAAACTGGACGTTGTATAAGCCAGCCAATATGTGATTCAGATCTTGTCTCCAAACCAGCACTCCTAGTCCCTGCCTTTCCCCAGCCCTCTGGGGGCCCCACTGTAGCCTTCCCCCTACAGGTGGATTTTGGGAGTCTGGGGGCTTTTGATGGGACATTAGTTCTATCTTAAAGTCAGGTGCGGGGCCCCACTGTAGCCTTCCCCCTACCGGTGGCTTTTGGGAGTCTGGGGGCTTTTGATGGGACATTAGTTCTATCTTAAAGTCTGATGGGGAAACTGAGGCTTGGGGATATGTGTGCCCAGAAGAGAATAAAGAGATTCCATAGTCCTAACTCTTAGGAGTTAGCCAGAGGAGTCATGACCGTACTGGGAGACACTGAGGCAGAGATAGGAGGTGACCAGTATGCCTTCTGTTTGTTCTCCAGCTCACCCGAGCTCTGCTTGCTGTTTTAGGCTGTGCTGGCTGACTGAGGGAAGAACACACAAGACAGAGGGTTAGAGTATAATGGGCAAGACACCTCTTCCTAGGGAAGTGCAATCCCTGAGCCAGTTTGGGGTGTGGGAGAGTACTTTGGCAGGTTGAGACTCAGAGGCAAGAGAAGGCATGCTGAGCTGTGGGTACAGCGTGTGCACGAAGGCTAGAAGGTAGGAAAGCTCATTGTGCCACCTAGCTAATGTAGAAAAGCCAGATATGTGGAAAGGTAGACAGTGCTGGGTGGCCTGCTGGAGAGTTTGGGTAAGTCACAGGGGCAGATTGCTGGGCCTAGCCCTGCTCTTGGATCTTCAGAGCAGGGATGGGAAAACCCGGGTGAGTTGCCCAAATGACCACACACTGGTAATTGGGCAGGGTTGTGATCATCTGATGGTTTTCAGTATCTGTGCTGTGCTGTGAAGTGCTGAGGTCTTCTACAATGCCTTTCAGACTGAGGAAGGCCAGGAGACCAGGGTGGCTGTCCCTGAGGCAGGCACAATGGCTTGCTGCTACACTTGGGGACGGTTGAAGAGAATGCTTGTCCTCTTCCATGCTGCACCCTACTGGGACCTGGGGCAGGGACTCAGCTGGGGTACACGTTCACACTTGGCTTCACACTGGGCATGTATAGTAAGAAGCTTGTCATCGTCCCCATGGCACCGGAGGTCTGCTTGGGAAGTGAGGCTTGGAGGTTTAAAGCCAGAGCTCCTGACACGGCAAAGGCTTGATTTGTCTCTTGTGTGCCTCAAGCTCTGTCTCTGGTGTGAAGTTCTGAGGACAGTATGGCATTGTGGTAAGGATATATGAAGTCATTTATGCCCCATTCAAAAGTGCACCTAGGGGCAGCAGGCGCTCAGGGTTAAGTGAACAATTGTTATCCACAGGGATTCATTTGGCAAAGTGAGACCACTGGCATCTAGTTATGTGTTTAGTGACTTTGCTGGGGTCCCACATCGGAGAGTGACAGAGGCAGGGTCTGGAGGCTCCTTTCCTCCCCACCTGGCACTGCACTGTGTCTGTGTCTGCTCTGACTGGACACTCTTGAGTGTTCCTCAGTTGAGCCTCTCAGGTCAGTCTGGTACAGCCTGGATTTACATTCTGGACTGCTGTATCTACATGAGGCTTGCTTGGGTGGACTCAGACCCACCTGACCCAGGTTCAGACATCCAGTATGGCTCAAGGCATCTTGGAGTCCGATATTCTGGTTCTCCGAGCCTGAGGCCAAGGGTGGGGGTAAAAATAAGGACAGGGGCCCAGCTTCAGATCTGATCTTGCTGCTCTTAGCTGTGTGAGCTCAAGAGAATCACTCCACCTCTCTGCACCTCCCATTTGTCAAGAGTATCTGGGATGAGAATGGGCATGAAATGGCGTTTCTAAACCATCGCTCACGGGAGAGCAAGGCAGGTGACTGTCTTCTCCCACTTAGTATGACATTGCTTTTCGAAGCTGCCCCGGTACTTCTTTGCTCTGAGGGACCAGGTGTGCTAGGTGCTGTTTCAGGACAAAGGGGTGCTTGGCAAAGTCCTTGCAGTTTAGACTCCCTGAGAGGAACAGACTCTCACACCAGACTCACACCCCTGCTTCACTGTTCTGAAGAGTCATCAGGATCACTCCGTAGCACCGAGCTTGCAACCGATTGAGGGGTGATGCCAACCCTGTTGGGTCATGAGTGGCAGCTCATACAATGAGGAGAGATGGTGTGTCTAAGCTCCTGGGGTTTCACAGGCACCACCAGTCAGTGACAGGCCCAGGCAGGTGTCCAGCAGAATGATGGGAGGAACAAAGGTCAGTTGGAGTCTCTTGAGTGTTGACGTGGGGCTTCTTGTAGCCTGTGGGCTACGGGTGCAGTTCAATCTCTTGGGCACAGCATGCCTTTCTAAGAAGTGCTGATGTCAAGCAGTTCCAGGTGCTGCCACCACTGACTCATGCTCTGGGGCCCACAGCCTCTTGGAGGCAGTGAAGCTTCAAGTGGGGGCCCCAGATGAGGGACTCCTAGATGTGTGGGCATTGGAAAGGGAAGAAGGGGGTTTCATGGGGTTGGTGGGAAGATTGGGGGGATGCTCTGGGACTGAGAGCCTCAGAAGTAGTTACAGAACGAAGGTCATGTGTGTTGGGTGTCAATCAATAGGCCAGGGTCAAAGCCCCAAGTGATCCAGCAGTAGAGGTCCCCAGAAAACTGACAGTCCTGAGGAGAAGGGAGACTCTAAGGAGTTAGCTTTGGAGTTGACATCCCAAGTAGAAAAGAGCAAGTGCAAAGGCTCTGGGCAGTGAGCAGGCTCCTTGAGTTTTGCCCACAGCAAGGAATCACCTTGGATTCCTTGGGATTGGATGGGATTGAGGGAATAGGGAGGAACGGGAGTAGAAGTCAGGGGAGGTGGGAGGAGCCAGACAGAACACCTGTGTTATCTTACTCAGTTTGTTTAAGCCCTGGGAGGCAAGGGGCTGTAAGACATTCAAGTTTTCCTGATGAAGTGACAGAGAAATTGAGTAACTTATTTAGGGTCACACAGCAAGCCTCCCATCTTCAGCACTGGTTATAAACAATGAAAACTAGGTTCACAAGATGAACAGCCCCCCTGCCCCCTTGCAGCTAAGGTCAGCCTTTTACTTAGCTGTGCCCATTAATCTTGTGAATGCTGCCAGGCCTCCACCCAATCAGTTTTCAGATTATTGTTAGATGAGCCCCTTCCCTTCAGTCCCAGAGAGTGAGGAAGGGTGGAGGGGGGCGTACATAAGTGTATGTTGGGTTGAGACCCTATCCCCAAGGAAGAAAACAGACTGGTTTAGAGACCTGGCAGGTGACACTGTGACCCACAAGCCGGCATGCTTAACCTCTTTTTAAGATCCCCTGACAGAGGAGAATTTAAAAGAACAAGATTGTCTTGGTTGGATCCAGGAAGCATCGTTTACAGTCCATTTTGGAGAACTTGGGCAGCCTGAGGTTTCTTAGGGCACCCAGAGGGGGTGTTCCGCCTTTTCAAATGAGGAAGTGAAACCCGGGGAGGAGAGCTGTGGCCATAGCCATGGGCTGGGTGTCCTTCCAACCATCAGTCACAATCTCCTGTCCACTTGCGTCTGGGACAGCAAGGTCCTACCGCATTGCTCTGGGGATGACCACTGAGATCAACTTTCTGGAAACCTCAAGTTCCTGGCCCTGGTTCAGCTCCCTTGGAGTTACTGACCATTGCCCCTCTCCAGCCCAGGGTTCCTCTAGTACAGTCTGTTCAGCTACAGTTATTCTAGGTGTTCCTTCTAAGACCTTTGGTGACTTTTGAGTTCATAGGACTTGACTTGATTGGAGTCCTATGTTAAAGCCTTTGTAGTCAGAGCTGAGGGAGACCATCACCTCTTTGTATCTTGAGTGCGTCCTATCTCATGCTGTCTGTGGTCATAGTTTACGGGAGCCTGCAGTTCCCTTGGAGTTTGTAATTGTTGGACTGAGGGAGCCTCCGTCTGTCTCTTCAGTGTTTCTTCCCACCTGAAATGTACTGTTTGCTTTGTAATTGTTGAATCCTCCGTCTGTCTCTTCAGTGTTTCTTCCCACCTGAAATGTACTGTTTGCAACTACAGTTGTTTTCAGTCTTTCTTGTTTTCCAGTATGCTTCTGGCTAAACATGTTTGTGCTGTCCGTCTGTCTGTCACTTCCGGAGAGGTGCTAATTGCTTGTTTCTGCCAAGGGAGCTGTTTGGAAGCGGTGTGTGCTTTTGGAGTGTTTTGTGACAGGTGGAGTTTTCTGTTATCTCTGCTGCTGGATTTGTGGTTCTTCAGGCTGCTGGGGTAGACTCATGTGGCTTCTGTCTCAATGGTGGGGAATTTGTTGGTCTTTTAAAAGGGATTTTTCTTCTGACCATTTTTTTTTCTGGATGTTCTGATGTGCTTGAAAGGATTTATATATGTGTATATGTGCATATATGCAGGTACATGAAGTCTGGTGTCTTTCTGGATCGCTGTCCACCTTGTATGCACAGCTGGGTTAATCCCCCAGAGTTCGCCGGTGGTGTTTATCTCCCTAGCCAGCTTGACTTGGGGATACCTTGTCTCTACTTTCCCAGTATTGGGAGTATCAGTGGGTCGCTACACCCACCCCGCATTTACATGGGTTCTGAGGATCCAAACTCTGGTCTTCATATTTGCACGACAAGCCCTTTAAACACTGAGCTACCTCTCCACCCCTAATGACAGACGTGTGTGAAGTCCACCACATACACCTGTAATCTCA